CCCAACCGCCCATGTCCTGTATTATATGGCTCTTAGATCAGGTCAAGTATCAACTTTTGCATTTTCAATTAAGTACAATATGTCGAATGAAATTGGACATGGAGGAGTGGTGCGATTTCAGCAAGCAATATACCATGATGATCCTTGACTTTAGTAGATCATTTTGGTAAAATTTCACCTCAATTCGACTCAGTATGAAAAACTTCTTCACGGTTTTCAATTAAGGACAGTTTTGGGTGAGAAACCAATTTCACCAAGCAGAACATGTCGATTTCAACCAGAACTTTTCCTAATGTCATATTAGGTTAATCTAACCATGTTGGTGAAATTTGGGTTTAATTCGACTTCAATTGTAACTTTTTCGCGGTTTTCAATTATGGACACTTGCTCGGAAAAGGTCAGATTTGAGCTCCACATTGCATCATTTGCATGAAGCCATGTTAGTAACGTCATATTAGGGTTAAAGGCTAGTCAATTTCGTGCCTTGCCTTTTTTGATCATTTTTGGTAACTTTTACAAGTCTTTCAATTAAGGACATATGGCTTTCCACCTCAGTTTAAGCCACTTTCTTGGTTGATCTTTATTTTAATCGAACTATGGGCTAAGAATGGTTAAGTTATGCTTAATTTTGTGGCTTGGTGGTTCATGGTCAAAGTAAGATTCGTTTTGGCTATTTCGTCGTCAGATCAGTGACATCGTGCAGCAGAAACGAAGCCCAGGTCAAGACAGAATGCGCCAGTCAACTTGGATTTCCGAATGTTACACGACGACCCATACTCAATGTAGTTTGACGTGGTATATGGCGTTGGAAGTCAAGTTAGAATATCTCAGCAATTTCTGGGAAGTTTCCTTGAAGTCGTCAGAGAAGGAAGTGATGCAAGACTTTAGGGTAAGATTGAAGCAAATAATTGTTGACTAAGTAGAGAGCAGGTCGTTGGCTTCATCCACCAAGCCCATGCCACCCCCTATAAATAGGGACCTAATTTACCAGTTTTCAACACGCTTGCACAGCTACAAACTTGCTCCACGCAAATTTCTAAGCTTCGTGCTTTTTCTCTATAGCTCAACACTATCTATCTATCTTTGTTCATCATGAGTTCTTACTCATTTTTCAATATTTCTTTCTTTTAATCTCGTCTTAGGACGTTAAATCAACTCTTTGCGAGTTTTTCCTCTCTTTCAATCTTGTCTCAGGACGTTAAAACATTGATTTTATATTTTTCTCATATGAATAACAATCAGTTGTTATTTGTCTCTCCTCTCTTATAGATTAAACCTTTGAAACACTTTATTTTGAGAATCGAATCTGGGATCAATGATTTAAATGCTTCGGTGTGACTTTGATCCAGTTCCCTCAATTCACTTGCTTTGATCTATTTTTCGCTGCAATGCGCACCAACATCATGTTTCTACAACTCTTTGTCATTTTTGGCAAAATGACTGGCATGTCCCGCACTCTCATTTAAGTTTTTTTCGCAAAAACTCTTCAAGAGATTTTTGGCGCAACAGTTGTTCAATCTCGTAAGAGTGTACTGGTTTAAATTATAGTTTACCTTTGATGCTCTAAATTAAAAAGAGAATTAATTTCGAGCCGATGAATCCTCAAAATATAAAATTAATTAAAAACGAAGCATATTATCTACTCATCAAGTATTCCTTATCTTTGACCTGAAGATCCGAGCATATATATTACGTACCATTACTACATTGTAATTTTTTTTTGGTAACTTGAGACTGTTAGGAATCGAACTCTAGGCACTGAAATTAAGAATCCAACACTCTACCACCAGGCCAAATGCCCAATGACTACTACATTGTAATTACCAATAAATTAGTTTAAAATTTGTAAGATCCACCATAAAACTTACATTTATAAATAGTGGACCTTCACAAAATATTTTATTTTATTGCGACTAGATCACAACATAATTTTGGAATTGTAAGAAAAGTACTAATTGTAAATGATATAACTGTGTGAATAATTGAATGTCACAAAAAAAAAAAAAGAATTATGAATCTGTGATGACAACTTGATGGACCAGTAAGTCAGGAAGAAGCCCACCTGCAAGATGGCCCCCTTTAGCCTCCTAATGGAAGATGGTATTAAGTGGGCAACTCCAATATAGAATAATAGGCTCTAAAACTGTTGGGCCAGGCAGAATAGGTTTCCTTTCACCTAAATTTCTTTCTTAGGCAAGAATTTGGGCCTACGCTCTTGAGAGCTTTTTGAAGGAAGCTTCAGCCAACCTTTTCAAGGTATTCATGGGGCGTCGTTGCGATTTCATTTCATCTAGTCTTTCTTATAATTATACTTGTTGGCATTATCTTGCTAATTTTCTTGACAATGATGAAAGCCTCATGTTAATAGTGATTAAACTTTTAGATTTGATTTATAGGTAAGTTGGTAACATTTTGTTATAGGTCAACATTTCATTTAATTACGTACACATGACCACTTGGAATGAGTTGCAAGAACTATGGGGAATGGCTGATGGGTGCACAATTTTTTTTCCCCTATTTCAGAATGTTGTTCAATTGCTATCTGTGACCATTGCCCCCACACCACAAACCCACATACAAGAACAAGACCATCAACTTTTATTAGAACGTTTGATTAAGAGACGGTGGTTTCTGAATTCCGATAATTTCCCTTCTTTTCATAGTCATTGAGGTTTTACCGTAGGTGCATGGGACAAGCAAGCACGTGGATAATTGTTTTTTTTTTGAGGGATTCATTTCAATTAATCAAACAAAAAATGAGAAACGCGGTTTGCCGGTTCTGTCTGTTTATGGGGGAAATTCTAAGTTGGAAAATTTTGAACAGTTGAAGTCTCAACTTTGCAACCATGGCCGCCCTTCTATTTTGGGGTCTTGGATTTTACTTTATCTAGCTATTACCTCAATTATGTACTCCCTCCGTCCCAAATTATCTGTCCACTTTTCCCCTAATAGAAGTGGACAGATAATATGGGACGGAGGTAGTACGATTTAATTAGTTTATATAAGTTTTTCCTAAATATTGATTTAAGAAAGGATTAATATTATTAGTCATAGTATTGTTAATTTTAACATGAGTGCGTGTTTGTTTACTATAAGAGATGATAGTTTGTGTGATATACTAACCTTACATAATATTATGATTGCGTGTGTGACTCATAATGGTTTACGAGAAAAATATATAGATGGAGTTCTAAATATAGAGAGTGAGTAACTTTTCTTTATTTTTTTTTGTTTAGCCTTAGGTGCGTCTTCTGCAATTATGGAAAACCTATAATGTGCTTTTGGATTTGGATAAGATTTGTTTGATTAAGGCAAGAGTACATTATATTGTGGATGCAAAGCAATTGAGAGTGTGAAATAGCAAAGGCGATATCGAAAGGTAGTGTTGTACATAATCATGCAAGTGGATAAAATTTGTGTCTAATTAATGTAAAAAAAAAAAAAACCGTGTCTAATCTTGTAAAATGCGCATTTGATATGAACCAGAAAAGGCCGAAATCAACAAGACTTAAGATGGATCCAGTATGGGCTAAAAACTATGAATTTATGCTATTCTGTTAGGTGTTTCTAGAAGTATTTGTTTTATGTACTGAGCATATATATTGATTAAGCAATGAAAGGAAAGGGAGAAGAAAATAATTAAAAGAAAGATCCTTTCTTAGGCTTAGCCGCAAGGTTAAGAAAACCCTACTATTGGTGCTTTCATTGAGAGAGCAGATGGTTCGTCGGTGTTGACTCAAGATAAGAATCTTCCTCAGTCTGTAATAACAAGAATGGTGTCGTCCGGCAGCGATGGCCCGGCTTGTATTGATCGTCACAATTAAAGCAAAGGCCCTTTGCTCGCCTGGCCTGCATCTCTGTTGGTGTAAGGCTCTTAATAGGTAAGGAAGGGACTGGTTTTGTGGCTGGCGGGGCTGGAAGTCTTGGAACCGATAGTTGTGGTGGTCTTGGGGGTGGAAGGGATGATAATGGTTTAGGGAGATTAACATGAGCTGGGGATGGTATCAGAAAGGAAGTGGTTGAGGTAGAATCAGCCAGTTTTTCCTCAATCAGGGAAGCAAAATCCCCTGCATCGGAGAGGTTTTGTGGTTTTTGGGTAGCCATTTCATGTTGAATCTCAGGCAACAAACCACCAAGAAAGCAATTGAGAAGACTAGTTGGGGAAAGGCCATCCACTTTGTTGGCTAGTTTCTCAAATTCGCCTCTGTAATGAGCCACCGTCGATGTTTGTTTGAGCTTGAAAAGCGCTGCTTCATGGTTAAAATAAGAGGACGGTCCAAAGCGAAGCTCAAGCGCTCGAGCAAAAGCACTCCAATCAGTAAGCTGGTTGTTACGATAGAGATGTTGGAACCAACTCAAGGCAATACCACTCATGTAGAACGCAACGAGTGACAAGCGTTGGTGTGGTTGAATAGCATAGAAAGAAAAGTATTGTTCTGCTTGGAACAACCAGTCGAGGGGGTTGGAACCATCAAAAGTGGAAAGGTGAATTTTGGGGGTTTTGATGTGTAAGTTATCAGGTGGTGATGGAAAAGTTGAGGAAGAATGGTTTTGTGATGGAGGGTCTTTTGGCGGTGAGGAAGGAGAAGGTGAAGAAAGAGATGGCTGCAGATTCAAGCGATCTGCAATAGCAGTGGTAAGGGCTGAATAACGGGAATCGAGGGAGGCATCAAGGGAGGCATATTTAGACTTGAGTGAAGCCTGGAACTCCTGTAATTGAGCAGCAACGGCTGCTGTCACCTGGGCAACGATCTCGTCAGGATTTGTCTGTGGTTTGGGAGGCATGGTGGCGGTCTCTCAACGAGAGCACCAATGGTAGGGTTTTCTTAACCTTGCGGCTAAGCCTAAGAAAGGATCTTTCTTTTAATTATTTTCTTCTCCCTTTCCTTTCAATGGATTCGTTGCGAGTGACATCCCTTTCTTCTGATCTTGATGCTAATGAGCATGACAACTTTCAGGTTTCTCTTCATGCCTTGCATGGGTCTACATCTTATCAGACCATGAAGTTAACAGGTTGGCTAAAAGGACACCAGGTTCGGATCCTCATCGACTCAGGTAGCACCCACAACCTGATTCAACCCCGCCTTGCCAAACATTTGGGATTGCTCTTGGAACCTGCTCCCCCCTTTTCAGTATTGGTCGGTAATGGCGAAAAACTTCACTGCTTCGGCAAGATTCCAACCATTGCAGTCGAGTTACAGGGTCACCAATTCGATTTAGATCTTTATGTGTTGGACGTTTGGGGTGCTGAAATTATTTTAGGAGTCCAATGGTTAGCTACACTAGGCCCAGTCCTCGCAGACTATCAGGCCCTTTTCATGCAATTTTATTCCAATGGGCAGTTAATTACTTTAAGAGGGGACAAACCAATTCAAGTGAGGTCAGCTACTTGTCAATAGATAAGACGCCTCACTCACACGGACTCGATAGCTTCAGCCCATTTGCTATCTTTCACCACTCCAGACTCTGATTCTTCTTCAAGTCTTTTCCCAGCTCCTACCATATTGCAGCCGTTGCTGGAGAAATTTTAGACCATATTTGCTGAACCGCAAGGGTTACCTCCTTTTCGACAACAATCTCATCACATCCACCTGCAACCTGGCACCTCTCCCATCAATGTCCGCCCTTACAGGTACCCTCATTCCCAAAAACAAGATATGACTGCTATTATTAATGAGATGTTGCATCAGGAATTATACAGCCAAGTGTTAGCCCTTTCTCTTCTCCAGTTTTGCTAGTAAAAAAAAAGATGGTACTTGGCGCTTCTGCGTTGATTATCGTGCTCTCAATGCTGCCACCATCAAAGACCGTTTCCCTCTACCGACTGTTTATGAACTTATTGATGAGTTACATGGAGCTAAGGTTTTCTCAAAACTGGATTTAAGGGCTGGTTATCACCAAATTAGAGTGGCTTCAGAGGATGTCCATAAAACTGCATTTCGTACAGTAGATGGCCATTATGAATTTTTGGTCATGCCATTTGGGCTTACAAATGCTCCGTCGACGTTTCAAGCCATTATGAATGAAGTTTTCAGACCTTATTTACGACAGTTTGTGCTTGTGTTCTTTGACGATATTCTAGTATACAGCTCTTCTATGGAGGTCCATTTGGAACATCTCTCTATTGTATTGAACTTACTAGCTCACCATCACTTCTATGCTAAACTATCCAAGTGTACTTTCGGGCAAACTTCCATTGATTATCTTGGACACATGATCGGCGAGCAAGGAGTGCATGTAGATCCTTCCAAAATATCAGCAGTAACTGCTTGGCCAATTCCCACGAATTTGAAGACACTAAGGGGTTTTCTTGGTCTCACAGGCTACTACCGTAAGTTTGTCAAGAATTATGCACATATAACAGCTCCTCTTACTAATCTTCTTCGCAAAGATAGCTTTCAATGGTCTGATGAAACAGAAGCATCCTTCCAGGCTCTAAAAAATGCACTAACCACTGCCCCTGTTTTGGCGCTACCCGATTTTTCCTTACCATTCTCTATTGAAGCCGATGCCTCTAATGTTGCCATTGGAGCTGTTTTGGCCCAAGCTGGGCACCCCGTGGCTTATTATAGCAAGAAATTGGGTCCTCAAAAGCAGTTAGCGAGCACCTATGTCCGAGAACTATATGCCATCACCGAAGCAATTCACAAATGGAGACAGTACCTAATTGGTCGTCCTTTTGTAATTTATACTGATCAGCAGAGTATAAGGAATATGATGAACCAAACGGTTCAAACGCCCGAGCAACAAAAATGGCTCGTTAAATTATTGAGGTTTCAATACTCAATTGAGTATAAGCCAGGCCATCAAAACAGTGCAGCTGATGCCTTATCACGGTGCCACTCTTTACAGGCAACTCATTTAGCTATAACTCAGCTTGTTCTATCCTTCTTGGAGGACCTTCGCAAGTTCTATCTTGCAACTGATGAGGGCAAGAAATTGTGGGCTAAGGGAACTTCTAAGGCTGATGCCGGTTTCACTACGATGGATGGCTTACTTCTTTTCAAAGGCCGAATTGTAATTCCAGAATTCCATCCCCTGTAAGAATCTTTACTACATGAATATCATGCCTCGCCTACCGGGGGACATGCGGGCATTACTAAAACGGTGGATCGGTTAGCAGCCAATTTCTATTGGCCAAAGATGCGGCAAACAGTGACTACTTTCATACAATCATGTGCTATTTGTCAACAGGTTAAATACGAAACTACAAGGCCAGGGGGATTGTCTACTCCTCTTCCTATTCCAACTCAGATATGGCCGGACATCGCCATGGATTTCATCACCAACTTACCTGCTTCTCATGGGAAGACTGACATATGGGTAATCGTAGACAGGCTAACCAAATATGCGCACTTTATTGCACTGCCCTCTTCTTATACAGCTTCGCAATTAGCAGAAATCTTTTGTAAAGATGTATGCAAATTGCATGGTATGCCTGCTTCAATTGTCAGTGATAGAGATCCAAAGTTCATGAGTAATTTCTGGTCGGAACTATTCAAACTGCAAGGCACCAAGCTCCTCCACAGCAGCGCTTATCACCCTCAGTCCGATGGACAATCGGAGGTTCTAAATAGGTGTCTCCAGACATATTTGAGATGTTTTGCTAGTGAGAAACCTCGTTTGTGGACCAAATTCCTACATTGGGCAGAATATTCTTATAACACATCTTTTCATACAGCAGCTGGATTAACTCCTTTTGAAGATGTATATGGAAGATCACCACTTACTGTTCTGTCTTATTTACCTGGAGCCACTAAGGTCGCTAAATTGGAAGAGAGCCTCGTGGAGAGACAACAGATCCTGACCTTACTCAAAAACAATTTGGAAAGAGCACAAAACCGCATGAAAATGCAGCATGACCATCACCGCACTGAGAAGCAATTTGAAGTTGGAGATTTGGTACTTTTGCGTTTGCAACCTTATCGACAGATTTTTGTTAGCAAAAGATCCTCGCAGAAGCTGGCTAAGCGATTTTTTGGTCCCTTTGAAGTCTTGAGAAAGTTGGGACCAGTTGCTTATGAATTAAAGTTACCGCCCGAGGCTAAGATACATCCTGTATTCCATGTGTCATTGCTGAAAAGGTACTATGGTTCATCCCCTGTAAACCATGCTTCTTTGCCTTCGACTTTTGTTGAAGATAAACCAGTCCTGGAACCAATGGCTGTGTTAGATTGCCGCGAGACTGTTACCAATGGAATCACTAACAAACAGTTTCTGGTGCAATGAAAGGATTTACCAGTGGCAGAGGCAACCTGGGAAGAGAAAGAAGACCTGCAAGCAACTTATCCTTTTTTCAACCTTGAGGACAAGGTTGCTCTTGGAGACAACTGCAATGATATGAACCAGAAAAGGCCGAAATCAACAAGACTTAAGATGGATCCAGTATGGGCTAAAAACTATGAATTTTAGGCCTGTTACATTTATGCTATTCTGTTAAGTGTTTCTAGAAGTATTTGTTTTATGTACTGAGCATATATATTGATTAAGCAATGAAAGGAAATGGAGAAGAAAATAATTAAAAGAAAGATCCTTTCTTAGGCTTAGCCGCAAGGTTAAGAAAACCCTACCAGCATTCAGTCTCCTAATTAAATACTTTTTTTTTTGCATCAATTAAATACATACTTATTGTTTCTTTTTGGCATCAAAATACGTACTTGTTTAGAATTAGAGGGCTTTACTTTTCATGTTTACAATTAATTTAAGTAATAGGAGTATAGTCTTTTATCAATAAGACTTGAAAATATATCACTAGTTAAAAGAGAAGTACATCCTCGACTCATTGAGCATTATTCTTTGCAATAAAAAGAAGAAATGACCCCTTTCATTTGCAATAAAATGTAAGGAATCACACTAGTTAAAAAGAAGCACACTCTAAAAAAAAAAGAAAGAAAGAAAGAAGCACACTCTCAACTACTTTTGAGTTGCCACATGAGACAAATCACATTTTACTGCGACATCCCAAAACATGCATTTGATAGCACGGTATGGTGAAGAGCACTAAAAATGTGTGTGTGGTTTTTTTTTTAGAAGTCAAAAATCTTGGGCCTAAGGTCTTGTGAACTTTGTGAAGGAAGCTTCAGCCTTCAAGCTATTCATAGACCATGGAGATTTCAACCAGCTGCAAAAATGTTGGTCCATTGGTATCCCTTACCATAGCCTAAACAAACCCACTTGCAAGAACAAGACCAAAAACACTTTGAAGTTTTTGAGCCTTGTATACAAGACAATTTAGTCCAAGATTCTCAATTTCTCTTGGCCAGAATATATATTGAATCTTTATTCATATCGTCTGTGTATGTGTGTGTCTATATTATATCAAGGAAAAAATAATAATAATAACATGTTTATATAGTAGACAATACATGCATGTCAGTTCATTTCTTATGAATATATAGAAACAGAAAAACTTTTCCCTGCTTAAGGTTTTGTATAGGTTGACTCCAAATTAGTTTTGTATATAATATGACTACCAAATTCCAAGGATTTATACTAAATTCAACTGTAGTTAAAGAGGACTCGTAAAGTTTGGAACTAAAAGATATTTAGGCGGATGATTTTATTCACATATAACCATTGAATATAAGAACAAAAGCAATAAGTTCAATCATCCACATTGTCCACCAGTCCCTCCAAAAGTGAAGTAGTAGTGCAATTCTTTATGTCCACAATCTCTTTTGTCCACTATACCATAGCAGCCTGATTTGTCCACATATTGAATTGTAGTACCGTCAGCAGGAGTAAAAAATGGACTTTGATCCATCATAATCTGAATTGATCTAAAGAAAGAACTACGTTTGTAATCATTGTTTGGCATATGACCACTCCCCATGGGAGGGCTGTTTCCTTGCTTATCAGCAATCGCAATTCCTCCCCATGCCACATAGTTTGCTCCATAGCGTAATTTGGGTAATAATTCTTTTGGCCAATAACCAATAAATGTTTTGGAATCTATTCCAAACCACCAGTTCCTAGTCTTAGAGTCCTGTACAATAAGTATTACTTGGAAATTAGAACATGGAAAACACAAAGATTTTTGTTTATGTGAAATTTATATGGTGAGTTTGGTGAACAAATATCATCCCATTTCACCCATAATCCTTGCATCAAATACATCCTTAATATAAGACGTTAAAGATGCAAAAAAAAAAAAAAATACCTGATAAACCATAAGCTCGACAACATATTGTTGACCGCCATAGGTAGAAACCGGCCATAGTTTTCCATCAGGTTCTATTTGTGGGTTTGTTGATACGAAACCTGGACACCGAGTACCATAACAATTTGTGTTGTTGTCCTATATATTTTGGCATGAGAAAGTTAAATAATAAACAAACATTTTAAACTAATGGATCTATATCTTTGGGGAAAAATAGAACTAAACTAGGAAATTTTTTATATTTTGCTTACCCCGAACCAATATGTAAACAGTCGAGTTAAATTGTCACCGTTCATATCAGGAGAAACCTAAAATTATGGTATAATAATATGTGAGCTCCATATCAAGAAATTGAATAAATTACAAAAAATTCAGTCTCCAATAACATCCTTTTTATAACAAATAATAATAATTGATGAGCTATTAACAATTTATAGTACTATATATATAATGCCAAAAATAAAACAATTAAGTTTTTCTCACGAGTCTACTCAAAGGCAAAGTCATGTGCTATACATCCAAGAAGACCCCAAACAATTAATAAATAAAAAATATAATTTAATGCGTATATACTGTTTTTACTAAAAAAAAAAGAAAATCAATTTTAAAATATAAAATCAACCTATTTCAGTCAATTTTTGAAAAAAAAAAAAATAAAGGTCACCAACGACTATCCATTCAAAAGAAACTACTAGTTATAATAATAAAAATTCAATATTTACCGCCCATCCAGCAAGTATGCCATTTGATTGACCAGGTTGATGAGCAGGACCATTCCAAACCCATAAATTAGCTGAAGAAAATTGTTGATAAGAAACACTAACATTATAGACTGATACATATCCAAGTACACCATAGAAATTCGGGCCTTGTTCCATTCTTACATGCACAACCTAATACATCATGAAGAAGATAATAAATTAAGGCATTGTAATTGATTCGTAAGAAAAAATATAAGGCCGTAAAGCATATGTAATTAGATACTAGCTAGTAATTATGGTAAAGTGAAATGGAATTAGACAATCACATGAGAAAAGCTATTTGATTTTTGCCCAAAACTAACGGAAGGCCTCTTGGGGAGAGATCTCATTCTAAGTAAATCTTTCTTCGAAGTCCGTCAAATTGGAACTGTTCCTGTAGGACATGCTTCCCTTTGTGGAAGTAATTTTACATTTCGCGATGAGCTAAATTTTTGTAACCCTTTAGGAATTTTTGTTGGTTTTATCTGCACCAAAAAGCCATGATTTCAAGTCCAAAACAAATAATTAAATAAATTAAAATTTTCAAATGCTTTTTATCCTAAATCTTGTCTTTGCGATATTAGATATTATATATACCTGAATCTTGTGATTCTTAAGTAAATGATGGTCAAGCGCTGGCTGTTTGTTAATGTCTATGCAATCGATAATATCCCCCTCATTTGTCTTCAAACAAAGAAAAATGATAAATATAACAAATAATTGATGCAATTGAAAAATAAAGTAGAAAATGAGTTATATATGGGAGATCAAAGGTGTTCGATAAGATACGTGAAAGGTTTTGATTGGAGGTTTGTTGAGAACTTTAAACTTTCTTTCTAACTTCAGATCCTCTTCGAACGAAAGGCTTGAATCTAAAACCATGGGAATGGGACTAGTAAAAACAGAATGAAAAATGAACAACATGATGAGCAACACCATGAGCAATTTCAAAGCGATAATTTCACAATCTATAACAGACAACTCTAGCAAAAAATTAGTTGTTTTTTTAATATCATTGGATATATATTACATATATAGCCAAGACAAGAAGAAGCATTAATTACATTTCTTGAATTCCGCATACAAAACATATAGTGGTGATGTTTTAAATGATGCCCTTAAAGTGTGCATGTCATTAGATGATCCATGTCTTATTTGGAAAATTTAGGAAAGTGTAATAAGTACTTCTTATGTCCCTAATTATCTGTCTTTTTATAGAAGGTTTCTATGTCACTTTATATCTTTCACCCCTCCAACCCAATGCAAAATTGATAAAATTTTGGCTTATTGCTCAAAAAGGCCCCTGAACTTACACAAATCGGCCAAATAAGCCCTTGTACTCTAATTGCAGCCAAATAAGTCCCAGAACTCTTAGAAAAAGCCAAATAAGCCCTTTTCTGACGGCTAAATGCTGAAATAAGGACTAAACGTTTCAAGATTTTTTCAAATAAGGATCAAAATACACAATTCCAACAAATTAAAACACATACTTAGCAAATTTTTACAAATTAGGGAATCTTTAAATGAAAATCAATGCTTCTCATGTGTACACGTTAAATTTGATAAAAAAATGATATTATCATGTTAATTAAAAATCAAACCCTATTAGTCAAAATAAAATCATTAAATGTAATATGATATAAAATCATCGTTTGCTTTTCAGTTTATATATATTTTACACACTAGTATTAACTTATATTGTATCCAATTTGTAAAAATATATATATATATATATTAAGTATGTATTCTAATTTGTTGAAATTGTTTATTTTGAACCCTATTTGAGAAAATTTTGAAACGTTTAATCCTTATTTCAGTATTTAGTCGTCAGAAAAGGGCTTATTTGGCCTTTTTTAAGAGTTCAGAGGCTCATTTGGCTGCAATTAGAGTTCAAGGGCTTATTTGGCCGTTTTGTGTAAGTTTAGGGGTCTTTTTGAGCAATAAGCCTAAAATTTTTCATCTGTATCATTCTCAGTCAAAAAAAGGAATTATGCTTTAAATGTCTTGCCTTATAGATTGGGAAGAAGGAAGAGATAATGGGTAGAGAGAGAAGAAGCATTTATTATTTGTCTTTTTCTAAACATTATAAAAGTGATTGATAAGAACGTTAAAATGTTATATTTTCTATGCGATTTTGCCTTGTTTTAGTAGTCGTATATGTTTATTTACCCTCATTTTTCTCATATTTGTTTAGTATGAAGATTTGGAGCAATTTTGGATCAATTTCGAGAAACTACTGATTTTGCTCATTTTTGGCCCAGTAGGCGCATTAGGCCCATTTGAGGCCATGAAGCCCATAATCTAACTCGAATCATTGGTGATCCAAATCT